GGAGACGGAAAACAGACCCAGGACCCACCTCAAGCATAGGTGCTTCGTTGGAAGCATAGGTGCCCTTTCTAGCATAGTTTGTTTGGTTAGAAATAGGTGGCAATGGTTTATCCTGGACTTCAGGAGGCCCTGTTTTGGCCTATTAGGCAAACCTTCTGGAGTGAGCCGAGGAAACCTGTTTGATGCTCGATGCGTCAATTTTCCTGGGGCGCCTCTTAGTTCAGAGTAACAGTTCACTTGTGGATTGGGATTTGTATAAATGGGGCGGTCGAGTCCCTTCGAGTATATCTTCATTGTCTCTGACAGGCTGAGGTGCCTGCTTTTTTATATGGTTCTGTTTGAGATCGCCGCACAAAGAGTGTCCTTTCATGGCCATTGGGCAAGGAAGCTTGGAATTCGGGACATGGATCCTTCCTGAAGCAAGCATTTGACTGGCAATGTGACCCCTGGTCTGATGCTCTACAGAGAGCGCAAGATGGAAGGTCCCTTTGAGCACCAGATTCGATCGACCCAATGGCTGCGAGTCAAGCGACATGGATGTGCGTTTTTGTTGAGGCACCTTTAAACAGAGGAAACCCACCATCTGCCCGCTTTTCTCAATACTCAAAATGGCAACGTACCTTGGGCACTTAGGTACAACTGGAAAGCCATCCTTGCTGCCGGTGCTGGTGGTGTCCTTTTTTGGGACCACACGAATTGTAAATTCTTGCTGGTGTTCGTTTTGAAACCAACCCAAAAGACTTGGTTGTTGTGGACCCCTCGGCAAAAAGCTTAACTTCTTGTGGGTTCAATGGGCACCCTTGATTTCCCAAAAAGTTAAGGTCTAAAGCTCCGTTACCCAATAGTAATCAAGAAGGGTACCAACACCAAAAAAGACCCACCCACTTGGCCATGGGTCAAAACCCCGTACCCCCAGTGAACATCCCAATCCTTACTAAAATAGACTAAAAGGGGTGGTGCACCTACCCCAAAATGGGATCCCATTGGTTTTGACTGACAGTCACTTAATGGCCACACGACCCCCGTCAGAAGCGAACCGAACCGGGGCTCCCACTGCCACGTCCTCCAACTGCCGCTGGTTCTTGAAAAGTCCGGTCTCCCGGTCCCGGTTATGAACCTGCGCGCGGTCATCTTCGATTTTCTCAGACCCTGTGATTCCATTCTTTCTGCATAGGTAAGTAAAGGCTCAGTAAAGGAACCACCTTCAAAAGCAGTTTTTCAAGACATTGAGCATGTCTCCTCACTAATTAACATGGAACCTGACGGCCGGGTCCTGGAAGACCATTTTCCTTTGGAGGGACCTGTGGTTCTGGTCTGGCTAAAACAACTACCATTGTTTACTCGAGGATTGTCATCTAAATTGGGCCAACCATTCTTGAAAGGGGCTTGAAGCCTAGGGTGTTCTGTTTCTCATCAAAGTTGAGTAACTCAACCCTCAAAGTTGGCTTCTGGATGGGCGAAGGTTCAAGCCAGGTGTGCGTGTGCCTGTGCATATTTTGTTCTTCTGCAAACGGGTCAACCCGTGATTGACACATCATCTCCCCACGGATCTGTGAAACTTTTTGAGGGTGCTGCTCCCCGGTGCCTTAAGCAAGGCGCATGAATGTCTTCTGGAATCCAAGATGGGTGGTCCCAGATCCCCGCAAAAAGTGACTAACTTTTAGCGAGTCAAATGGAAATCCAACCACTAAACACCAAAAAGCCAAAAACAAACTAAGGAACCGGATGGCTGGGAGCCACCCGGTTACAGCTAGCTTCCGCTGGGTTTCCCTTTAACCAAAGGGGCTCCTGGATGTGAGAAACGCCGAACCGGCAGAATCGGATGCCGGACCGTGATCAGACACACTGCAATGCATGGATTCCCCGCATCAAACCACAGCTGTTTGGGTATCTTCCTCTGGATAAATCCGAGGTTGACACTAAGCAGCAATGGCTCTCTTGCTTTGGCTCTGAATCTGCATATGTTCAAGCATTTTGCTGCAAGACTGCTGCAAGACTGCTGCAAACCAACAGGAAAAGACGATCAATGGGGCCATCCGAGCAAAAGACAATGCCAAGCACAAATGTGACAACCCACACCTACACCCACTCGAGTCTTTCGATGCCTTGCCACATCAATGAGTTCGAGTCTGCTCAAGTCTCTCAAAAATCCTATGCTGGAGTTTCACGCTAAAAATGGGAGTAGACATGTTGCAAGGTTGTGAAGCCATGTTGTCTCTTCTGTAGGGCAACCAAATACTTACTAGATATGGAAGCTTTTCTTTTGCTTCCCCACCTCCAGGCTGCTCCCTTAAACATAGCAGCACTCCCAGTTACAGGGATCCTTACATTATACACCTGAACATTGCCTAAATGGTGGTGTCCAACTCTATTTTGGTGTTGAAAAAGCCAGCCATGTTTCAAATGGTTACGCAAAATGTATCGATCTTTTGAGGAGCCCCGAGTTCTTTTGGTGCTGCAATCTCTTGATTTCTCTTGACTTCTTCATACCTCGAGGCTGAAGTTCCCGGATGAGCTTGGCACCACTAGGTCCTGCGCTTCGCAACCAGTTCCGGGGGTTTTACTTTTTGACCCCAGGGTAGACTTAAACCCGTGGTTAATGTCCCCCAGGAGAACCCCTGGGTTTAAGTCTATGTTTCTGGTAGCCAAAAAGTGGAACCCTGGTTCCGGGTGCTGGTTGAATGAACCCGTGGAAGGGGAGTCCCCAAAAACGCAAGCCATAGGATGGATGGTTTCATAGGGATCATTCCATCTTTTTTTATTCGTCGCTGAGAACCACCCGCCGGAACAGGTGAGAACAGGTAAAGGTTTCATTGGTGTTTGACGCGAGGAACTTGTAACTCCATAAACGGATCTCGAGGGTACGGTTCGGATGAGACCCCTTCACCGAAAGGCATCCCTGAACGAACCTCCCTTCGTGGCAAAATAAAACCTTCGGTGGCGAACTTGGGAGGTTGCTATGGTTTTCGGAAGGCAGAGCGCGAGGTGACAGTTTCTGCGATAACGCCTTCAGGGAAGGCTGGACATGCGGGCAGCTCAACATCTTCCTTTCAAGTTGGTTCCATTTAGCGCACCAAACAGGGCAACCCGTTTCTTCGCATGGGAAGTTCGCGTCTTCGCGTAAGCTTTTCATGCAAAGTCGTATGACATTCAGCGCTTCTGAGGCTTCACAAAGGGCTGAATCAACATGCGGCGCTGGTGTCTGCGCATGCCTTGAGCATGTCCTTCAGCAGTTAACCTGCAAGACATTCAGACATTCGCCTATAGCCCTTGTGCCTTGACATGTGCCAAACACAAGGGCTGAAACCGCAATGATACGCTCCACTTAAACAAAATCATACCAAACGGAACGGTGGAAGGAAATCAAATGCCATTTCTTGGTTGACGTCGGAAGGGGAGCAAACATTTACATCTTAGCATTTAAGTGGGGATGTCCCACTAAACCGCAAAAAGCAAACATGTAAAATGTGTCCCACCAACAGCCATGATTTGCCTACCAGCCCGTCACTGGCTAGAGGGGATCACAAGCCTTGGCTCTCGTTCACAATGCCTTGCGCTTTTTGCATGCGGACAGGGTGGAAAGGGATGGAGAGGGTGTCCCCAGTGCGTTGAGCCGGTTTTTTGCACCTCTAAACGCCACATACCAAAGCCAAGAGAGGAACTTTGACACATCCCGCAGGCGGAACTTTTCAAGATTCCTCCAGTAGCTCCGCTTGATCACTCCCGCGCATCAGAAGTTCAACAGAAGAGTCCCGCCTGCATACGGACATCACGCGTCACTTGTAAATTGGTCAAGCAAATAGTTAGGCAATACCTAGGGCTTCAAGAACCTGTAAACATGTCGTACCCTGACTAACACATCGTGTTGTTTCTAGATTTTCGAGGCTCTTGGTAGTTAGAAAACCGCTTGCTTGAGCACAGATAATTACCGACATTTAAGTCAGTGCGGCCGACATTTGCCCAAAGGAATATTATATACTCTCGGCAATACTATGTTGCCAACCAATGACGCAGTGCATTTGCCATATGTTGCTAGCCACCAGCAGAATATCGGGCTTGTTGTTCATGGAGTGTTTCCCGCAGGTTTCTACAGATCAGGTACTTCAAGCTCTCCTGCACAGCCATCTCGCCAGTGGTCAAAGTGCCTGCGCAAGATTCCAATTTGCATGCCTGGATGAAATGCTAGAGTCCGTAGAGTCATTGGAAAAATGCAGAGCACGTTTCCAACACTTGCGCTAGCAAATGCGCAACGTTCAAGCATGCTCCTTTGAACGACTCGGCTAAACTTTGACAACTTTTGGCACGCCCAGTAATTCATGATCAAGTAAGTACACACACATGTGAGAGACAATCTCAGGTGTCCAATGCTTTATAAAGCTTTTCAGGATCATGGAAAAACTTGCGGCGGCGATATGAATGAAATGTTCAGCGTGCTGGTCAAGGGCCAACCAAGCTAATGTGTGCTTCCTGCATGGAGGGGCCACAGTTGCAAGTTGATATTTCAATCGGGAAGTTTGATTTCGCAAGTCATCAAGACTTGAAGAACACATCAACATACGAGTCATGACCCATCCCCCGTATTCAGGGATACCCCGGTCGATGAAATAGGTCACTTGCAGCCTGTTGCCATGCTCTGGCACTCCCATGCTTGGTTGCTGATTCTCCTCATATCGCTCCCATACTTTCAAGGCTGCGGGTCGGCGCGCGGCGCGCGGCTCGCTTTCTATTTTCTATGCAGCAGTGGGTTACAAGCGGGAAGATACGCCGAGATTCATCATTGGGCTGAGCCCGAATGCCAAACCTGGTTTGGAGGCTTCGGTTTTTACTACAGCCGGATTCGGCAGGTGAAACTGGCTCTGAATGCGGGGCGGCATCGGCTCATTACGAAGAGCCGCTCAAGGCCGTCAGCTATGAACCGCAAAAAAAGAAATCTGGTTATGGAGCAACGCAAGACCCGTGCTGCACAAGTACGGCAAACTGTTTTGTTTAGGCTAACTTCCGCCCAATTTGGAAATGTCGGTCTGACAAGCATTCGCCGGCAACCAAGTGAAACCTATGGAGACAAGCTAGTCTTTGACCGCTTCTCCCAGTGAAAAAAACAGCCCGTTCCTCACAGATGGGCCGTTGAAATCATCCTCGCCGTGCCTCTAATAGCGCTAGCTCGGCTTTGGCTTGCTCCAGCCTGGGTGCAAAGTGGACGCACAATCCACTCTCTAACAATCAAGGATCCAAATGGATCCAAACGTTCAAGCAACCTGTCTGGCTCATCTGTCCACCTTTGGTCGCCCGGCGCATTCGGCGTGCTTGGATGTTTGGATGTTTGGCGGCAGTTCATGTATCCTTTTGCACGTGGGTCAGGAACGGAAGCCCTCATAAACAAACTCGTCTCAAACCAGCCCTGATACTTGGTTGACGTTGGAAGGGGGCAACAATTTAAATAATTTAGTAGTTGAGTTGGGATTTCCCACTAAACCACAATAAGCAAAAATGTAAAATGTTTCCCAACAACAACCATGAATTCAATATAAGCAAACACATTTCTCCTGTGCAGTCTGGAGGCTGCTCGCGCAGCGAGCCGTTGAGGGCTTTCAACTCCGACTTGGACTTGGCCAGATTCACCTGGCAAAGGCTCGCGTCTCGCGGGCTCGGCATGAGAGGCAGACGGTACTTTGAGGAAAGCGATCAAGCTCCCAAAGGTGCCGTGCTTGTGGGAAGGCTATTCTAGGGGTACCTTCCATGACCATTCTTAACCCAGGGATCCGAATCTTTCTACAAACCCTCCGGAAACCCAGGGAATACGGATCCGGATTTGGGCAAGAGCGATGGTTGAAAAGAATGGGGAATCAACCCCCAGAGCTACGCTGAAATTGAAAGAAACCCGCGAAACAAAAGGCTGATTTCGCCCCAGCGGCGGTTTGCACGATCCGGCTGGAATCCATCTCCTGCATCATGTCCTTGCAGAGCTTGGTCTGGTAATGCACGAGGGCGCTCTCGATCTTCATGTGCCTCACCTTGTGCCCTGTCTGGATGGCATCATCTGTGGCTGCCCACAGCTTGCCTCTGTTGCTTTCTGCTCCCCTGCCACAAGTTTTCAACTTTTCGTGGTTTCATACGAAAAAAACACCCATCAAGGCTGGCAAAAAGGTGACTCAGTCCTAACCTCCCCTGGCAACATGCCACCAAGTTGCCCTGATACTCCCGGACCCGCGGACCTTTGGGCAGCTTCTTCTGAGGACCCTCCGACTTTTGGCAGCTCGGCTCCAGCACCTTGGGTTTCAGCACGTCCTTCTCCTGCACCACCGCGGCCTGGATCTGCAAGTTGGCCGCTGCCACCTGCCAAAAGAAAACGAGCGAGCGGGCCAAGGAGCCGGGGCCCATGGGCCAGCCCTGCATGAACAAGACCTATTTTTTCCGCCACCTTGGCTGAGCTGATTGCCCAAGGAACCAAACTTTGTGCTATGTAGAATGGTCTTCCCAAAAAGTCTCTCGGCCTGCCTGACTCAGGGCTTCGTTGATGCCTGCCCGGCTGGGTGGACGAGACTCGAGGCCCTTCAGCGTGCTTCGCATGTCCGCCATCTGCTCGTTGAGCTCCTCTCACAGACCCGCCGCTTCTCTAAGTGTCAAACATTTGGGGCCCCAAAAATGGGAGGGTTGTCCACGCGCACACGCACAAACACATACGCACGCAGGCCTGCAGGCACAGGCCTGCAGGCACGCAGGCACGCAGGCACGCAACTCGGCACACACGCACACACACGCACACATAAATCCCACACATACGGCAGCCGCACTGGTTTGGAAAGCAGGGCCAATGGCCGTTTGCGCCCCTCACTGCTCCTCGGAAACAAAGTGCGGCATCTTGATCTAAAACACGTTCTCTCGCAAGCGAGATCGCTGAGAAAAATATGCACCCCTTGCAAGCTTCTCAACACAATTTCGCAATAAGGCCATAGCTCAAAAGCCCGAACCCCCAGTGAACATCCCAATCCCCACTAAAATAGTTTCCAAAAGTGGCAAACCACTTAGGGGTATCACCCACCCCATCCCACCCCAACTGGCTAACAATGCTAACACAACTTACACGCCAGGACAATCGAACACCGCGAGGATCGATCCGAGTTGTCCGTTTCAGTCGGTCGCCTGCAGCTGGCGCTCCAGCTCCGGGCGAGGCTTTCGCTCCGGCTCCGAGAAACTGGCCATGAGCTGCTCGAGCTTCTGACGCTCCTATGGGGGCTTCGGGGTTTCCAGGATTCCAATGGGTGAAATATAAGATTTCAGCAGCCTGAAATAAGGTGGTTGGAGGGCTACTCCCCACATAAACCACCATTTGGGGTGAGGTCGTGTGAGGTTGTTATAATTCATCCAGATCAATTTGCTGGTGATCAGGAATTAAGGGAATCCCCAGCTTCATTCCCTCTTTCCCTAGCCATCGCACCAGCAAGTCAATGGGCTTCAAACATGTTCCAGCTTCGCACTCGTGGAATTCAATGCGCGTTGGTATGTCAAGCCGGGAGTTCTCAAAATAGGGGAACCCCCCGAAAATGGCAAATGGCGTTCCTTTCGGTTTCCCTTTCAAGCACCAGAAACACAACAGGGGTGCCTTCCCCCAGACGATTCCATGGAAGCTCCCAGGATTTCGTTGGGGTTAGCGAAAGAATCCCACGAACATGGAAGCTCCAATCCAAATTTGGACCTTTCTCGAGACTCTTTCGATGCATTCTGTAAGACTGTAGGATACAGGAAGCACTTGGTGACTCAACATGCAATAGGACCCTAGACAACGGTCCCTTTCAAGAAGCTCCGAAGGTACCAAAGTGTCAGATCGACAAAGCGATTGCCTGACATATTCGAAATGAGGAAACACTCAGTGTACTGGCTCTGTACTGACTCAGTGTACTGGTTCAGGCCCAAATCGAGATGTTTCTCAGAAGGGTCTGTTTCAAAAAATGATGGTTATGTCCTTGTGGTTTCTCTCAAATACCCGCTACTCTCTCGGACTATGCAAGCTCGATAAATGCCTCAATGCACCAAGTCTTCCAAAGAACAATTGTGCACCCAAACAAACAACAACTCACTTCCTGAGTGGGTTGGCCAGAAAAAAAGGTGGCATGTTTTGCTGTTTACCAGGTTAACCACTCAAATGGTCATACCAAAAGTGACTCAAGTCCGAAGCGGAACTCGATCGGAAGTGAGACGAACATCATTGCTATACGTTCCTCCTCCAGTAGAGAGGTTAGAATAAGGGTACCAACTTTTTCTGTCTATTTTAGTAGGGGAACCGAATCTCCCCCAAAAAGAAACGGTACAAGGGCACCTAGCTGGGGGACCTACTTTCCCTTAGGCTCGCCTTCCCGAGCCACCCGTTTTGGTTGGACGGGTGTCCTCCTCCATCAACGTCTTCAGCTCCACCGCGCGGGTGGAGAGCTGCTCCTCGACCTGAAGACGTCGCAAATTTGGATCTGTGCTTTTTGGGGGCATGTGCTCAACAAATATGGCCATGGGTCAAAAGCCCGCACCCCCAGTGAACATCTCCATCCCCAATAAAATAGACTAAAACGGGTGGTGCACCTACCCCAAAATGGTACCATTGGTTTTGACCCACAGTCATATCTTAATTGGTGTATGTTTCTTGATGTTTGCTTCAGCAGCCCTAACCGATATCTTGGCGTATTTTTCTTAATTTTCAGCAGTGGCCCTGTTTGGAGGGACTGTCTTGTTTAATAGCTTGATTGGTGTATGTTTATGTTGTTTTTTTCAGCAGTGGCCCGGTTTGGGGCGCTGTCTTGATTAACATCTTCATTGCTGTATGTTTTTGTTTCAGCAGTGGCCCTGTTTTGGGGGGCTGTTTTGATTTATATCTTCATTGCTGTATGTTTTTGTTTCAGCAGTGGCCGTGTTTGGTCGGACTGGCTTGTTTAACCTTGAATTCAGTGGCCATGGTTTCCTGTTCTCTTCCCTGAAAGTCCACCCCATGTTTCTTTTCTTTCACTTTTCTGGGGCTGCTCCAGATACGACGGGAAAGACGACTGGATTATAGGCGAAGCAAGAGGTCTCAACCTAAGCGCGGGCCTCATTTTCGAACACGCAGGGAAACCAACCCCCTGACGAACCCCTAATTGGTATCGATCATAGAGCTGCCAGACAGTTACTTGACACCCGAAACACGATCTAAGTTTAAGTGCCAAAGGATCAAATTATGTCAAATTTGGGCAAGGATGATACAACTCCAATGCGCAGCGTATATTTCTTTCTGCACGAATTAAGAGAGTTCCATGCAGAATTAAGCCACCAACCACTGGAACAGCCAACTGAGAACCAACAGGCTTCTTAATGTTGGCACCCCGGATAATCAGAGGGGACCAAGCAAAGAAAAACACACTCAGTATTCAGTTCCCACAAAGAACAACTGCAAACAGTGGTTCCAGATAAACAACTACAATTGGGCCTTCCCAGAAATCTTCGCCAACCCAGCCCTTTGCCCAAACGCCAGTTGCAATGTGATCTTCTTTGCTTCAACCCTAGCTTGTTGGTCATTCTTTGCTTTCTGCTACTTCAAACCTCAAAAGCAGAAAAGCAAGCCTGCCTTTCCGCAAATTAAAATTGATTTCTCGCAGCCGAAACTGAGAAAAAGGGGCCCGGCCGACAATTTACGCCCATTTGCTTTTAAGTCCCCTGGAAAAATGAGAGTGAAATCGATTCCCTTACAACCAACAGGGGCAAAAACAAAAAATCATCTGACACGCAAATGGAAGTTTACCAAGGGAAGAACAGCCGGGGCCTCGATTCACGAGGAAAGGAGTTCTTCCCCGGACAATTCGCAAGCCAATGCTGAACTAGCTATGGCTATGGCTGTCGCTGTGGCTCAGAATGGTACCTTGGTAAATGGTAAAGACTAAAACCTGCGCAACGTAATTTGTCTTTGCGGCTCCTCTATTTCAGCTCATACTTATTTTTTCTCTGTTTTTTTTCTTGTGGGGGCCTGCATGGATAGGAGACCCACATTCTGGGCTCTCTCTGAAATTGCTTTTTCTCGTCTTTTGTTCCGCAACAGCTGACAGCTATGGGGTCTCTGCCCAGATAGGCACTGGGGCGGTTTGCAGCAAATTTCACGACCGGAGCTTATCTACCAGCTCCTTACAGAATCCTGGTAGTTGGCCTTCCAACTACCAGCTAGTTATGCATGGCTTCCCTTTAGTGGTTCTAAAGGGACACCAAAAGGAATGCAGCCAGCCGGTTAACCGTTCTGCCTTCCTTTTAATGAATCCCAAGGGGACACCAAAAGGCAAGCCATTTCTTATGGACCCCTAATGTTGACCCAGGATTAATAAACCCGTCCCATTATTAGGGGGGTGTTCCCTCCAAAAGTGACGAATCCCCAGGACACCCCCCTATTAATCAAGCAGGGGTTTAGTAATCCGGGGTGAACAGTTGATGTTGGAAAGGGAGCAACAATTTTAGATTTTAGCTGCAGTGAAGTGGGGAGTTCAATCACTAAACCACAACAAGCACAAATGTAAGAAGTTTCCCAACAACAACCATGAAAACAGTATAAGCAAAAAGAAACATCGCGGTGAAACCTATTTTACGACACACCCTTTCGTGGTGCACCCCTTTCTGGGCGTCACGTTAAACGGCTCGCCGCTCAAAACGAACCTCGCGTCGCCTGGCGTGCGGAGGCGATGTGCTGCTGCAGGCGCAGGTCCGCCGTCTCGGCCGTCTCCGCGCTGGGCGCCGGGCGCTGCACCTGACGCCGAAACGAGAACGTCGCCACAGCTCGAAACGAGAACTGACGCCCCGAGCATCGCCACTCGAGCGAAAACAACCTGGCCACGCACACAAACGACAAACAAACCTGGGCTGCCCGTTTTCAGATCCCCTGCTAAAAGTGACTAACTTTTAGTGGGTTAAATGGAAAATTCACAGACTAAAGACTAAAAGGCTAAAAAGCTCAGGAACCGGATGGCTGGGAGCCACCAAGAAACGACCATCAAAAATCAAGCGTTATCTGATCTCCCAGTTCAAAGTGGCGAACCTTTCGTAGGTGAAACTTGGACATCCAACCACTGAACACTAAAAAGCTAATCTCCGGAACCTGATGGGAGCCACCAAGAAAAACCAAAGACATTTGCAGCCCAATGTGATGTTGAGTTCATCAATTTTGATGTTGTCAATGGCGACACATTTGTTGTTGATAGTGTGGTTGTAGTTGATGACGATGTGCTCGTTGTTGCTGCTGAAAGCAACAAGCAAGCTGTTGTCTCAACTGAGTCTAAGGCACCTATTTAATTTACTTTTCAGCTATGATGTTCTAAAGAAATAAACATGACCCCGACCTTAAATAGGCATCCATGGTATCCTTTCACATCCTCATAGAAGAACACCCTTAGCAAACAGCAAACTAATAAAGAGCTTCATGGCTTCCAGTGCCGTGTGACAGTCCCGAAAACAAATATGTCGAAATAGCACCACCCCTCAGAAATTGCATTTTCCCATGTCCAATATCCCAAGTGCTGTCCGCGTGCTGATAAGCATAGCATGTGTCAAACTGGGGAATCTTGGGGTTAGGTGGAGTAATTCCTATTCACACATGCCTGCATGGCACCATTGAATCATGGCAAAGTCTCGCAAACAATTCCTGTGCTGACATCAGCTTCCACATACCCGCAAACTGGAATAATGACACGCAAGTCACCTCAATTCCAGCCTCTCATGCCAGCCCAACGCCATGATACGCCGATGGTGCCAGACGTCTAAGTTGGCTGTTTGCCCTCCTTACAAAAAAACAAAAACAACACAGTACCTACGTTTTTACCGATGAGTAGGAACACCGGGAAAGATCTCAAGAAAATCGGGCAGCCCTCCCGGCGCCGGACTCAACAAGACGCCGACGCCTCGCGGCGATCTTCTTTGGCCGTCTCGAGCTGCAAACGCTCCTGGTTGAACTTGGCCTGGAGAGTCCGTCAGCCACGGGAACCAAAATCGGGAGGGCTGCGGGGTTCCTTCCTGCCTTCCTGCCTTGTGTTGAAGGGGAACCAAGTTCTGCTTCCCTCTTTGAATTGGTGTCCCCACCACTGCTTAGAATCAGCTTTAATTGGCGGTTTGGATTGGTGGTTCGGTGGTTAAGGAGGGGTTTCCCATCTAATATCTACAAGAACCAGGAGTTCCAATTCCATTTTTTTTACTAATTTAAACCGCCAGTTAAGGGATACCTCATAGAAGTGGTTCTCGGAAGGGTTCTGAGAAGATTTCCAGGGCTGGTGGAATCATCCGTGCCATCCTTTCCTGTTGCCAGCAAAGAGCCAGCGAGCAAAAAGGAAAACAAACTTGCGTGATGCCGACGACTTGGCCCTGATTTGTTTGTTGATGTCACCGATTTTGGGACTGTGTTCAAGGTAGACAACATGGAGACCAGCCCAGTTTTCAGGGGGTCTCCGTTTTGAGCCAACCCCATTTCAGGAACAGAGCTAAAGCCCATCAAGTTCCAAGCTTGCTGGATGAGGCGAGCGGCTCTCAAGCCCAGATGGATGCTCTCTACAAGAAAGGCTGGCGGGCCAATTGCTTCTCTTCGGCATCCATCCATTTGGTTAAGTCCCCTGGGAAAAAAATAAAACCAAAATCCAGTAGTGAAATCGATTCCCTGTAACACCAACCGGGGGAAATACAAAATATACTCAAGCAAATGGTTCAGCATCTGCTTTATCACTCCTGCTCCAAGCACCTTGATCCCAAGCGGAAGGTGTCGGTGAACCAGCCCAGTCGCAAACACGGCAGAAAGCCTCGAAGCAAGGACCAGCGCAACTTTGGGCCACGTATAGCTGTGCGGCGCCAAAAACAGACTGCGAATATTTCTCTCTGGGGTGTATGGCGCAATTATTGAAGAAACCACAGGCGGGCTGGGTTTCAGTTGAGTACGTTTGTTTTTGTCACGTTAGTGACGTGAGTGCTGGCGCTTACTTCTCTTTTCCCACTTGGCCAACATGTCCTTGAATGAGAACTCCAGAACAAGACAGAGCTTTTGGTCAGCCGCAAGGTTAGGAAGGCGTGTGTTGGACACCGCCGGACTGCAAGAACCCCAAACTTGGCATTGTGAGACCCTGTTGCCATCTGTCGTTTTCCCTGCTCCCATAGGTCCCTGCTTCGGATACGGCAGCTCCGAAACGCGTCACAAAAGATGCGAGTCCGAAACGCGTCAAAAAAGCTGCGACTCCGAAACCGGCGCGTGGGTGTGTCCATTTTTTAAAGAGGGCACCAACTTTTTGTCTGCAGTCTATTTCCCCACATCTTTGTGTGGGGTTCTTACTTTTACCGCTCCGCGCCCGCCGTCCGCCGTCCGGCCCCGCCGTCCACCGCCCGCCCCGCCGCCCCCGCCGCCCACTCACTCACACACACTCACTCACACACACTCACTCACACACACTCACTCACACACACTCACTCACTCACTCACTCACTCACTCACCCACTCACTCACTCACTCACTCACTCACTCACTCACCCACCCACTCACTCGCTCGCTCACTCACTCGCTCACTCACTCACTCACTCACTCACTCGCTCACTCACTCCCTTACTCACTCACTCTCTCTTGCAGGGGCAACATATGGCAGCTGTCTAAAGGGACTGGATGTTGTCGAGCGCGCGGCTCGGGGGCTCAATCTGCGTGACAGGCGCAGCCTTTGGAGATGGCGCACAGATTTCGTGGCAGGCGCAGTATTTTCTGCATCTGGGTGTGTGTTTGCGTGGCAGGGGCAGCATTTGGTAGGTGTCTAAAGGGACTAGATGTTGTCGAGCGCGCGGCTCGGGGGCTCAATCTGCGTGACAGGCGCAGCACAAAATTCGTGGCAGGCGCAGTATTTTCTGCATCTGGGTGTGTGATTGCGTGGCAGGGGCAGCATTTGGTTGCTGTCTAAAAGGACTGGATGTTGTCGAGCGCGCGGCTCGGGGGCTCAATCTGCGTGACAGGCGCAGCACTTTGGAGATGGCTTGCAAATTTCGTGGCAGGCGCAGTATGTTCTGCATCTGGGTGTGTGTTTGCGTTGCAGGGGCAGCATTTGGTAGCTGTCTAAAGGGACTGGATGTCTTCGAGCGCGCGGCTCGGGGGCTCAATCTGCGTGACAGGCGCAGCACTTTGGAGATGGCGCACAGATTTCGTGGCAGGCGCAGTATTTTCTGCATCTGGGTGTGTGTTTGCGTGGCAGGGGCAGCATTTGGTAGGTGTCTAAAGGGACTGGATGTTGTCGAGCGCGCGGCTCGGGGGCTCAATCTGCGTGACAGGCGCAGCACTTTGGAGATGGCTTGCAAATTTCGTGGCAGGCGCAGTATTTTCTGCATCTGGGTGTGTGTTTGCGTGGCAGGGGCAGCATTTGGTTGCTGTCTAAAGGGACTGGATGTCTTCGAGCGCGCGGCTCGGGGGCTCAATCTGCGTGACAGGCGCAGCACTTTGGAGATGGCGCACAGATTTCGTGGCAGGCGCAGTATTTTCTGCATCTGGGTGTGTGTTTGCGTGGCAGGGGCAGCATTTGGTAGATGTCTAAAGGGACTGGATGTTGTCGAGCGCGCGGCTCGGGGGCTCAATCTGCGTGACAGGCGCAGCACTTTGGAGATGGCTTGCAAATTTCGTGGCAGGCGCAGCATTTTCTGCATCTAGGTGTGTGTTTGCGTGGCAGGGGCAGCATTTGGTTGCTGTCTAAGGGACTGGATGTTGTCGAGCGCGCGGCTCGGGGGCTCAATCTGCGTGACAGGCGCAGCACTTTGGAGATGGCTTGCAAATTTCGTGGCAGGCGCAGTATTTTCTGCATCTGGGTATGTGTTTGCGTGGCAGGGGCAACATATGGCAGCTGTCTAAAGGGGCTGGATGCTGTCGAGCGCGCGGCTCGGGGGCTCAATCTGCGTGACAGGCGCAGCACTTTGGAGACGGGGCATAGATTTCGTGGCAGGCGCAGTATTTTCTGCATCTAGGTGTGTATTTGCGTGGCAGGGGCAACATATGGCTGCTGTCTAGAGAGGCTGGATGTTGTGTCGCGCGCGGCTCGGGGGCTCAATCTGCGTGACAGGCGCAGCACTTTCGTCCAGACTCACTTGCACTCATTCACACTCACTCACTCTCACTCAGGCTTATAGACTTCCAGCTCGGGCTTATTAGAGCTCGAGCTCAGGCTTATTAGACTTCCAGCTGTCTGAAGAAGAGGAAGCCGTGAATAATCTAGCGCCTGACTCTGCCTCGCGAGCAAAAAGAAGAGAGCACTCTACTAGTGACCGAGCGCTACCCCGTGGCCACTCACTCACTCACTCAGTCATTATCGCATGGCCACCAGAGAACCATTCACTGAAAAAATGCGCATGTGGGGTTGTCCGGTCCTTTAATTTAGTAGGTTTGAACCCTCCCAACCAAGAAAGAAACGGTAAAAGGGCGCCTAGCTGGGGGACCTGCATTAAGCAGGGGAACCCCCCCAACCAAAAAAGGGGAGAGAAGGGCCTCCCCCAAAAAGGGTAAAAGGGCGCCTAGCTGGGGTCCAATGTTGGGAGTCCAACACCTGAAGCAAGCCGAGCCACCCCCAGCCACCCCCCCCCCGGCGCCCCCCCAGCCACCCGCGCCTCGAGCTGGTTGGCCGCCACGTGGGCCTTGGCGAGCTGCTCCTGCAGCCGCACCGTGCTCTGCTCCAAGGTCTCCATCTCCTTCTGCAGCTGGTCGTTCTTCAAGCGCTCCAGCTCCTGGGCTGCACCCAAGTTACTATGACGAGCAAAGGAATTCACAAAATTTAGAAGCATGGCCAATCGACTAGGGCGAGCCAAGTAATGGACATGACTTTTAAAGCTCCTGGGCTGCGCAAAAACACGGGGTGAGTCAGAATGAATCTTGGAAAGAGAGCGAAAAAGCCAGGAGGCGTCACTACAAACCGCTGCAGCCAAGTTAATGACAGCAAAGGAATTCACAAAATTTAGAAGCATGGCCAATCGACTAGGGCCAGCCAAGTAATGGACATGACTCTTAAAGCTCCTGGGCTGCGCAAAATACAGGGGGCGAGTCAGAATGAATCTTGGAAAAAGAGCGAAAAAGCTAAGAGGTGTCACTAAACACCGCTGCAGCCAAGTTAATGACAGCAAAGGAATTCACAAAATTTAGAAGCATGGCCAATCGACTAGGGCGAGCCAAGTAATGGACATGACTTTTAAAGCTCCTGGGCTGCGCAAAAGCAAGGGGTCAGTTTCTGCAGAATAAATATTGGAAAGAGAGCGAAAAAGCTAAGAGGTGTCACTAAAAACCGCTGCAGCCAAGTTAATGACAGCAAAGGAATTCACAAAATTTAGAAGCATGGCCAATCGACTAGGGCCAGCCAAGTCATGGACATGACTTTTAAAGCTCCTGGGCTGCGCAAAAACAAGGGGCTTTTGCAGCTCCATTCATTCACAGCTGCAAAACGGTTAGCTTTGGAAGCTGCACCCATTCACTCTGACACCGCTGCAAAGCGAAATTTGGAAGCTGCACTCTGACACAAAGGGATTAAGGAAACTTCAATCGGGGATCAATCCTGGAAGAAAGGGTTTAGCTTTGAACGCTGCAGCCATTCAGTAGAAAGGAGTGGGAACAAAAGCAAGGGCTGAGTCAGAATGGTTCTTGAAAAGCGAGCGAAAAAGCAAGGAGCTTAGAACCCCCGCGCATGGCAATACGAGGGCTTCCTGGAACCAAACCACCACTGACAAGTGCTGGTTTTCTAATGCCATGTTCCAGTGGCGAGGTTAGAATAAGGGTACCAACTGTTCTCTGTAGTCTATTTTAGTAGGTTTAAACCCTCCCAACCAAAAAAGAAACGGTAAAAGGGCGCCTAGCTGGGGGACCTGGTCAAGGTCTGCTCATAGGAAATGGGCAAGCTTTCGAAACCAGCACTTCAAATTCTTCCAAGATGGGTTCTCCAAGCTGGGAACAGATCCCGCAGCTCAGAATACCTCGTAATGTTCACCCCGGATTAAGCCTGGTTGATTTTGATCGGGGGGTGTCCCCTTTTAGTGGGGATTCAGACCACTTTTGGAGGGAACACTCCCCCAATAATGGGACGGGCTTATTATTCCTGGGTCAAGATTAGTATCTTAGAACAAATGTTCCTTCAAATTGCGCAAGGCAACAACCTTCTGGTATGTCCGTTCCTATCGAACACTTCATCCGGTCATTGGAAGATTGCAACGGGACCGCCAAGGGACTTTGCAAGGGCCATTCAAATGTTGCTGCGAGACAGCATTCCTGGGATCTGAGTACTCAGTGCCTGGCAGCTTTGACTTTCTAGCAATAAGTCAGAGCTCGACTGTATTGCCTACTATCTTTACATACAAGCATCTCAACAAACAATATGTAAATACCCCAAAGTTCGCCACGAAAACAACAACAATTCCAGCCTCAACCTAAACAACTCATAAGGCTGGCAACTCTGAATAAGAAGGCCAAAAAACGCCCCCAAATCATCGGTAAATGTCCCTTTTGGCTATAGTTTCAGGGTCCAAAGACCCTCAAAAGAAAGAAAAGAAGAACAAAAGCCTTGCCCCAGCCTAGCCCCCCAGCCCCCCAGCCCGCCAGCCGCATGCGCCCAGGGCGCCAGACTGCCGCCCTCCCCGCTCTCGGAGAGCGCCCTGAGCTGAGCCTCGAAGTTGCTGGCGCGCCGCTTCTGCTCCGCCAGCTGCTTCCTCAGAGCTTTCGGGCGTCTTTAAGCAGCTGGCGCAGTCAGCTCTGCATAGGGATTGGAATGAGAAGTTTGGCATGACCCCTATATTTGAACCATCCCTGCATTTGTTTTTTCCGCTCATACTGTCCGAAGTTGATCTTGCATTGTTTGGGCTTTTGTTGAAGCTTTCAAAGGGCTGCGATCTTGATATGCTGTTTGGGTTCGGTTTGAGGTAGAGTTGCGGTATGTGCTGTTGCTTGTTTCACAAGCACCTGCGATGCTTATTGTTTGCGCGGCAACCCTTGGAGTCTTGTTAGGGAAACCACAAGAGAAGCAGGACTGGGTTGTTTTTGTGTCTGATGTAAGCAATACCGTTCTGACTCTTCTGCTGTTGTTCGTATTCGCTTCTGCTTCTTCTTCTCCTCTTCTTCTTCTTCTTCCTCATCTTCTTCCTCTTCATCTTTTGGCACAGGAACATTGTCGGAGCAGCCTTTTGGTTCTGCTTATAACTAGATGTCCTCAATATTCAGGGTATATCATTCCTGCACGCCCCAGGTCTCCGTCTTTTGGACAAACTGCTTGGAGAACCGCGCTGGATGGTACGCGGTATAGCGACCCTGGATGGAAAGGGTCATGATGTGCCGCACCCGTCAACAGTACTGCCAGCAAAACCGAGCTTGACTGAATGCAAACAAATTTATTTTTGAGGATACGCTTGTTTGTCGTCATTCAAAATGGGATCCAAGGGGAAACCGCCAATATTGAGGGTTTCCTCATTTGGAGACACACCCAATATGGTATGTCAGAGTTCAAAAGCATTGCAAACACTAATTCACCCAAGGCATGGGGCAAGTGGGGATGCATCATATTATTATGAACCAGCGCTTCTAATGTAGTCCAATGCTGAGCAAGCACAACCTCTCCAAGCAAAAATTAGTTGACAAACTATGGCCATGCTGCAAATACTAACTGGGCGGCTTTTTCCACAAAAAGCCACACAGACTCAATTCAATTCGGTCACATGGGTCTCTTTTTGTTGAGGGTACCCCTGTTTTGTGGTGTGAATGGGAAACCAACAGGAAAAGTCCTTCTCTGAAACCCAGCCGAGCACTGCCAGTGTTGAAGGGCGATTCCACGTGACCAAACTGATATTCTCCGTGCGAGGACTTTACTGTTGGGCTTCCGCCGTCCGGGGTATCGAGCCACAGCACGTATGGGGCCAGCTACTAGGAGTTTGGAGAATAAACCTGAGTTACGCATGCCGCAATTGTCTTTTTTTTCGGGACCATTCCTTTTACACAGATCCCAGTTTCCATCTCCCAAAGTGATACTGACTAAAAACCGAACAGGCTTCCTAGGCTTGCAAGATTAGGGGAAATCTCTTTTGGGATCCCCTGGACAATGCGGCTTCTTTTCTCGGTTGCTTTCTGCTCCCCTGCGAACAGATTAACTTTTAGTGGTTTAGCGGAAACCCCATTAGTTGGCAAAAAGTTTTTGAGTCCTAACATCCCTCGGCAAAATGCACCAAAGTCTGATAGGCCATCCACATCTTTTTCCGACCCCTGCCGAGATCTGCTGCCCGATCCGATCTGCCGCCAGATGTCTCCAGAGATTCCCGCAGGCTCCGCTTCTCGAGGTTGGCAGAGATCAACTCCTGCACCATCGCCTTCCAAAACTCGTGGCAGAGGGCTGCAGAGGGCTGCAGCGTGTCCCACAGGGATCCTTACATGAAAAACACCTGAACATTGCAACTTGCACATGGTGGTGTCCCTTTATTGTGGGTGGAAAAAGCAATGTTTCAAATGGTTGCAACATGTATCTTTTAAGGAGCCCTGCTGAAATGAACAGCCGCCCTTGAAAAGTTTTTTTTTTTTTTACCTGGAGTCTCCTTGACCCGAAATAAAAATTGGAGTCCATGACCCCATTATTTCGGGTAATGACCCCATTTTTAAGGGTCATGGAGACTCTGGTACACTTCCATGGAGGCTGCTTGTTTTCCCACAAGCAGTGGCAAAGGCAAACCATGAGTGGCTGGTTCGGGGTTCGGTTGACCCTGAGTCTTGGGACGGTCTGTTCCTTTGCAGTGGCTGATGGGTTGACCTAAAAAGAATCCCCTATTTGGGTGACCCGTTGAATGGGTTTCCAGCAATAGGTGCCTTCTGACGCGCACGTGCCTCTTTGTCCCTGCTCAAGCCAAAAGCAAAACACAACAATTGGATGCTACACACATGATTGTCGAACCCGTTTAGTGAAACTCGCTTGGGGTCCCCTGACCTGTGTTTAAGGCGTGAAAAATAGGAGGGTAGCTTGGCCAAGCAAAGGCTTGTTCGACTCTTTGGTACTGCGCTTCTCAGCAGGGTCTCGAGCACGTTGCCCGGAATCAAAGGAAGCCGGAGCCGAACCAAACAGAAAATCCGCACCTTTTCCTGGGAGAAGTGCAGGCAGCATGCTCTCAAACTTGCTTTACTTAGCCTCCCAGTTGCCCGGGGTCAACCCCCATCAAAAGAATGGTTGACCCTATTGGGATGATGAAACTCCTTAGGTAAATAATGGTGGTTACATTAACCCCTTTCTTTCAATGCTGGCTTGAACTCCAGGGGTTGTGGTTTTCCTCTTTGGCAACGAGATCTGACCTCAAGCCGTGCCGCATCTCAAGGCATCTGGTGCTGGGGAGTCAAAACTTGCGCAGCATTGCAACCCAAGAATGTGTCGAGTGAAAGCCAGGGCACCGGCGCGAAAAGGGGGCCCTTCTTGACCTTCAGCTGACAGAATAACAGCTGGCAACTGAGCCTGCAGTATTCCACTGTTGGAAATTGGATTGCCTAATATGAGCAACCTGGGCTCATAAGAAATCCTTGACTAGAAGGGTGTCCGATCTCAACAAAACATCCTTCATGCCCCACGAATCTGCCAGTTTTCTTCTACTTCCCAGATCCCAGTCGAATATGAAATTAAAACCGGCACTCCTTTCAAATCCTTAAGCCCAATGGCACAAATGAGAACATATTTCCAATAGTGACAGATTCTCCTGAAAAACAGCAAGCACAAATAAATCAACAAACTATTCCTTCAGCACATGGAAGACTCTTCTTTTTCATTGGCGTCAAGTCCTCTTTTTTGGCGGCTCGCAAAAGCCCCGAATGCCGACTGCGGGGAGTGAGTACCTCGCCTCCTTCACATCCTGCACGGCCACCAGCCTGGAGGTGGCCTGGGACGCCTTGCTCTTCTCCGCGCTGAGCTCCGTCTGGACGCTCTCCAGCTTCGCGTGCAGCGCGGTTTCCTCAAGACGCGGGGCTTGGCCCCCGAATCGAGTTCTCACATTCCGACGGAGAGAGGCTTAGCTCGGGAAGGCGAATGCGAAGCCGGGGCCGAAAAACCAACGGACTAGTGAAGAAGATGTCCGCTTCACAGGAGTGAGCTAACAAACGCATGTAATACGTTGCTCAGCCACAAATAGATCACACACGCACCAATCGAGCAACATTCACCACTGCGACCTACGGTGCCGGCTCATTCACGGATGGCAATGCCAGTTTGCACCTGCAAGTGCTATCATGGGGTGCAATCATTCACCAATCAGCAACAGGGATTCCCACGGTCAGGTCAGGTCACAAGCCCTTGATAAGGTCGCTACTGTGACCCGTCTGTTCAAAGCGGAGGGTTGGCGAATCCTAAGGGGACCCTTTGCAACCAAAAAATATGTGCTTCTCAAATAGGAATCAAGTTAATTTCCTGAAATGGGTAGTAGCCTTCTGGATTTCCTTTAGACACAAACCAAAGCAGGGTTTGCTCTCCCCGGAGTAAAAAGTATGGACAAGCCAGTTGTTTCCAAAAAAGGTCCTGGTGGGGCGATTGGGTCACAAAGACTAGCCAAGGTATAAATTTTAGGGGGCCCAAACTGGTGGACATCAGAATTCGGGGAGTCATGCATGTTCAACCACTTTCGGATGGGTTCCAACTCCTAACTCACCCCAGGTTGGAGAGAGGTTGGAGCCATAAATTGCCCAGTGACTCCATTTCCCTGTATAGGTAACAAAGAAACCACGCGAAAACCACATTTGGTTACCCACCATACAGACTTGCCTGGGATCCACTGGCTAAAAGATGATCTCACGTTTTGCGACGAATCATGTGTCTTTTCTTCCCAAAATTGCCCTAAAGTGGCTGGTTGTCCGTTTTCCCACCAGCGCTAAAAGCGTCTCTGCTGCTAGCAGATTTCAGGACCGGAAGGGCTCCAAAGGGTTCCAAAAAATTCCCGGGATGGGGAGATCACCTGGGCTTCTGCTTTCCCTTCCAAAAATCCCCCCCCCCCCTCAACCAGGGGGGTTTTGGGATGTCCACCTCAAATGTTGATCAATGAATCCAGGTTTGCTACCCAACAGAACCCTAAATTCCAGGCGGGTCCGGGCTCCGAGCCGGAACTCCGGCAAACTGATTCCCGCCCGGTCAAGAGAAACCAAGAGCTTCGCTGAATGAAACGGGTGGAACGTCTGAAAGTGCCCCACGTTTAGAGCTTCCCGAGCTTGGCAGGTTTGATCGGAAGCTACCGTTCACATGGTCAACTTCTTCAAGGTACACACGTGTGGGAACCCCAGTGAGAACGGAATCCAAGCCTAAGCCTAGAACCACAAACCAAGCCTACACCAACCCTAAACCATCCACACAAAGGGGGCTATCCTTCGGAACGGCTGGGAAATCCCTCGACAAGTTGGGCCAAGCTTCGGCCTCTTGGGCCCTGGACGCGGCGGCCTGGAGCATCTTCAGCTCCTCGCGCGCATGTGGGTAATCCGTGCCACGCACCAGTTGGGACGGATGGGTTTCCCTGGAACGGGTCTAGGTAGCCTACACTTGGGATAACCCACCTGGGCCAGGAGTTTGTCCACCACATAGATGGATGAAACTCTGGAAATCATGGGATAAACCAGCAACTGAGTAACTGGGCCAACAAATAATTACTGCCCGGACGGAACACCCGGGTCTCAGCTGCAACCACCCTTGTTGGCTGCCCATACTTGCGGGGATTTTGGGCATGCTTGAGAAAGCAGTTGGGCCCCGGGTGCTGCTACAAAAACCCGAGAGGAAAAAATGCCGGGTGCTCGTGACTGGGATCTACTGGGCGTGTGTGGAGGTTCTCAACATTGGGATTTGAGGCCCTTTTCGCGCGGGTAAGGGGAAACCGAAGGTGCACGCCCCCCCCCCCCCCCCCTCCCATTGTTGAGGGCCCTATGTCGAGTGGAAGGATCCTGTTGCGAGGAGTCTTTAGCTCCTGGTGTCCGTTCAGATCTCTCAGGGAAAGTAAAACATGTTGGACTCCAGGTGCAACAGTCTGGATAGCCTGCGTGTTGGTCACTGGTGTCCGTTCAGATCTCTCAGGGAAAGTAAAACATGTTGGACTCCAGGTGCAACAGTCTGGATAGCCTGCGTGTTGGTCACTGTGGGGATGATCATATGAGGCCTCTTGTTGGTCCAAGGGCAAGTCGCTAGTTCAGGAACGATAGTGGAGACAAATGAGCGATCCCCATCTGCCATCCAGCGGAGAGTGCTGTATGAAGTGAATTGATGCGATTAACCATTGTGGAACACCTGGCTGCTAATGATGTGCGCGAAGTCACGCTACCCCAACCCACTTTGCAGAATGAGGATTGACCCTATGCCCATGGATGAATCATCAACACACACAAAATTTGCCGTGTTCTTCCTCGGGCTCGACTTGAAACACAGAGATCGGTCTGGTGTTTGGCTTTAGGGAGCAAAGAGCAAAGGCAAACCCCACATTCTGCAAAAGGTCCACATTTTGAGGCAGCGACAAAGATCCGACGTGGCTGTGGGTCAAAACCCTGATACCCCTACCCGCGAGATTCCCTTTCAAAATGAACCAAACAAAAGGAGGAGTTACCCAAAGGTATCTGGGTTTTGACCCACACCCACGTGAGCAAATTCAGGGCACAAAAAATAGGTTCAGGGAAATCCATGTCAGCCTTCAGGATGTTGACAGCGCTGGGCATTCGCCGTAGACACTTCTTTCGTATGACCTCTCTCACCACGAGCACCGCGGCTTTTTTGATTGGGAACAAAGGCATGCTTTGTTGTTTGGCGCTGACACAAGTCTTGGCAAATCAAAGACCAAATGGGACAAGTAGCGAGGACAACCGTCAGAACCGAACAAACACATCCAAGTCGTGGCTGACTGCCCCCCCCCTCCCGCAGCCTACCTCAGTTCTCACCGACCAAACACCAGTTTTGCAAGATTCTGACCATATTTGGTGCACCTTAAAATGCAAACACACAACTACCCAGAGTCTCCATGACCCTTTAAAATGGGGTCATTACCCGAAATAATGGGGTCATGGACCTATTTTTAAAGGGTCATGGAGACTCCAGGGTCATGGACCTTTGGGTCCAGGTAAGATTCTGACCATATTTGGCGCACCTCATGCAAAAAGAACAACAAAAAAACGGATTCACCTGCCAGAACCTCCCCCCCCCCCGACTCCTCCTGGAGCTCCTTTGCTAGGCTCTCCCTCCGCGCGCCCGCGGCTTCCGGCGGCGGCTTGCTTTGCGAGGTCCTGAGTCATTCTAAGAACTACATCTCGCTTCGGAACCGGAAGCACTGGAAAACCGAAAGGAGCTCTACCAGGTCCTCCAGATTGGAGAGGATAGTTAGAATAAGGGTACCAACTTTTTCAGGACGTCTATTTTAGTAGGGGAACCCTCCCCCAAAACAGGGGTTAAAAAGGGCACTACTGGGGGACCTAGGCTCATGATCTACATCATTAGGCAGAATCATGGGAGACTCAGCTAATTGTTTAGCCCTTTCTATTATTCCCAGTGCTTCCAGTTGCCACTATAGTAGGCAATGAATGGGAAACCATGATGTAACACCTGGAAGCCACACCTGGGCCCCACTAAAAGTGGTACCTGGAAGCACTGGGAAGCAAAGAGGAAGCATCTCACTTTCGTGGATGGCCCAACAAGAAGCAGCGGAGGCAAAGCTGACGATGTGCTCATGGCTTTGCAACTCAGTATTCCACATTGACCGCGCGGACGTAGACGAAGCGAATCCACGCAGCTTTCGGCAGAACACCTACTTACTTGCCTGGAATCCTTCATCTACGCAAGCAAATGCGTGTGCTCAGATTGACATGTCCAACCTCCAACCAGGCAGAAGTAGTTGGTTCATCCTACAAATCCACTGCGAGTGGCCCGTGCACGCCAAGCATCGCCAGGGAGTCGCGCTCAGCTCGCATCTGCTCGACGAGTTTGCTCTCCGCAACCAGCTGCTCCTCTAAGAGCTTTCGCTGTCGCTCCACATCCTCGGATTCTCGGAGTTGGCACCCCTTGGGAGTGGTATCTAAAGGGAAATCGAAAGGAAACCAACCGCGTTTTGCGTGGCCCCCTATTTTAAGACACACCCAAATACAGCAACCTTGCAGCTCAAGGATACATCTTTGCTTCTTACAACCGTCCCTCTCCCGCAACATCTGTACCCTACAACTACGACCTTCTGTGTTTCTCGGTTGCTTTCTGTTCCCCTGCTGAACGTTTTGTTTTTCCCCTTTTTTTAACTGTTTCTGGATTAATACGGAAAACCCATTTGTTGGCAAAAGACCAAAACTAAAGTTCTAACATCCCTTGGCAAATCTCTGATGGACATTTCTGATGGACAAGTAATATCCCTTGTACATCAGAGGGAAGTTCTAACATCCCTTGCACCCAACAAAACATCTGCTTCCACCAATCCAAAACGTTGCACGGACTCTCAGGCAGCCCATCGCCTTCCGAACTTCCGACGCACCGACTGTGTGGCACGAAAAGGAGAACGCATGGACATGCTCAAAGGCGACGGGAAAATCCCAACATTCTAGGGGTTGATTCCTTTTAAATTATGTTCAACCATTGTTCTTTTCAAAAAAACAGCCGTTTCCCCAACATTTTGGGTGGTTTTTGTAGAAAGAAGGATGCCTGGGAAGAATGGAAACAGGTACCCCTAAACACATTCCTGGAATGCAGCTGGAACCAAACTCCATGAGTGATTGAATGCATAGGTGTCCTTTTAGGGGAACTAGATGGCCCTGGTAGATGATTACACCACCAGGCAAACCAGGAATTGCCATCCATTTTTCGAGCAAAACCAACCAAAAAGCACAGCTATGATTGAATGCCTAGTGGTTGTGACCACCAAGACCCTACGTGTGCCTAAGACCAGCGAGCCGGCGAATCCTGTGTGTGCTTGCGCGAGGTTTGGTGTGTTCATTTTCTTTTGACACGCCCGTTTCGTGGGCCAAAGCAACCGAAGATTTGATCTAAAATGGTCTCCCCAAGTAGCAAGTCCAGGAACGTGTCTCCTCTCTCTCTGGGGAGTGAGAAGTACTCGATTCCCATCCACGTATGGCTACTACGTAACTTTCAGGGGGATTTCATTGGAATCACAGAATGTGGCAACATCGCAACCGATTTTCCACAACCATGAAAAGGATAAACTAGGTATTCGGTGGAGAGGCTGGAATAAGGGTACCATATTTTTCCTGTACTCTATTCCAGTAGAGCCGGCGAAGCCGGTGGGCGGAAGTTTCAAAAATATAAAAAACTATAGTTATCTTTCTCTGTTTGTCTTGATTCTTGTTCTCTTCTTCTTCTTCCTTTTCACTGTTTCTTGTTTTTTCTTCGTCATTCTGTCTTTCTGTCTTCTTTCTTTCTTTCCTTCCTTCCTTCCTTCCTTCCTTCCTTCCTTCCTTCCTTCCTCCTTTCTTTCTTTCTTTCTTTCTTTCTTTCTTTCTTTCTTTCTTTTCTTTCTTTCTTTCTTTCTTTCTTTCTTTCTTTCTTTCTTTCTTTCTTTCTTTCTTTCTTTCTTTCTTTCTTTCTTTCTTCTTTTTCTTCATTGCGCTGCATCGTCCTCGTCTTGCTGCGTGCACATGCGCAGCCATAAAATGCGGTCAAACCGCCACACCTTGCTCGCGCGGGCTGCACTTGTTGGCTCCAGAGGCTCCCACGTGCCCTCGTGCTCCGCCGGACTCCCAGCGGCCTCGAACGCATCTGCCCAGCTACGGCACGGGAGTCTCTCGCCGGCGTGCGTGTTCAAGTCGCCAGCAAGGATGCAAGCGTCCACTTCCAAGCCCTGCATTCTTGCGAAGCACGACGCGAGCTCTGTCTGCCGCAGAGACATGCTGTCTCTCGACGAAGTCAAGTGGGCCGTGGACACACAATCAAGCCCCGTTGAAAAAAGCTGCAGGTGTACTTGCCGGCAAAACACTGACATGAAGCCGACGCGCTACGCTGTCGCGGTGCATGATGCACACGTCGAAGCCTTCCTCGCTGCAGCGGCCTCTTTGCACAGGGCTGGCCACGCTGAAGCCGGAGGCTGCGGCCAGCGCGTGCAGGCAAGCCAGGCATGAAGAAGTCACCTCCTGCAAGCACGCCACGTCCAGCTCCTCCAGAAGCGCCGCAAACTCGGCGTCTGGGTCGCGCCGGTTCATGTTGAACGTCAGCATCCGAACCTCGGCCTGCGCGTTGCAGCACGTGCGTCTGCGTCGGTCTGGGACGCTGGCTCGCACTCTGCCAGCAGAGGCGGAAACTCGACCGGCTGGCCGCCGTGGCGATCGTGCATGTTGCACGTGTCGGTCAGCCGTCGATACCACTTCCGACGCGCCTGCCGAACCAGCTGGCAGTTGTTCCTCATGAGCAGCGCCTTTTCCGCCACGCCGATGGCGCATGGGTGCCACTGCGTGTCCGAGACGCAAGCCTCCAGGCGGCGAAGCAGAGCGACCTCCTGCTGGGAGAGCTGCCGCGTCTCCCTGCGGCCCTCGCTATCCAACTGAAAGCACATGCTGACCGATGAGGGAAACACTGGCACAAAGTCCTCGTCGGGGGCCAGTGCGTGCTGCGCGGGCGCGCAGCTCGCGGCCGAGCGCCGCTCTGGCTGGCGTACTACTTTCGTACTTAAAAGTTGCGATTCTCGAGCCCCAGCTGCGGAAGTGGACTTCACGTACTACTTTCGTACTTAAAAGTTGCGATTTCGAGCCCCGGCTGCGAAAGTGGACTTCGCGTACTACTTTCGTACTTAAAAGTTGCGATTTTGAGCTCCAGCGGCAAAAGTGGACTTCGCGTACTACTTTCGTACTTAAAAGTTGCGATTTTCAAGCCTCAGCTTCCAACTTCGCGTACTACTTTTGTACTTAAAAGTTGCGATTTTCAAGCCTCAGCTTCCAACTTCGCGTACTACTTTTGTACTTAAAAGTTGCGATCTTCGAGCCTCAGCTGCGAAAGTGGACTTCACGTACTACTTTCGTACTTAAAAGTTGCCCCAGCTGCGGATGTGGACTTCACGTACTACTTTCGTACTTAAAAGTTGCGATTTTCGAGCCCCAGCTGCGAAAGTGGACTTCGCATGACTTCGCGTGCAATAATCGTACTTAGAAGTTGCGATTTTCGAGCCCCGGCTGCGAAAGTGCACTTCGCGTACTACTTTCGTACTTAAAAGTTGCGATTTTCGAGCCCCAGCTGCGAAAGTGGACTTCGCGTGCTACTTTCGTACTTAAAAGTTGCGACTTTCGGAAAGTGCACTTCGCGTACTACTTTCATACTTAAAAGTTGCGATTTTCGAGCCCCAGCTGCGAAAGTGGACTTCACGTACTACTTTCGTACTTAAAAGTTGCGATTTTCAAGCCCCAGCTGCGACAGTGCACTTCACGTACTGCTCTCGTACTTAAAAGTTGCGATTTTGGCCCAGCTGCAAAAGTAGACTTCACGTACTACTTTCATCTATATATCTATCTATCTATTTATCTATGTATCTGTCTATCTATCTACTTTCTATCCACTTTCTATCTAATCTACCTATCTATCTTTCTATCTACCTATCTATCTTTCTTTCCATCTGTCTATCTATCTATCCATCTATCTATCCACCTATCTACTTCTTTATCTATCTATCTATCTATCTATCTATCCATCTATCTATCTATCTTTCTTTCTCTCTCTCTCTCTCCAACTATCTACTTTCTTTCTAATCTATCTATCTATCTACTTTTCTATCTAATCTAATCTATCGATCGATCGCTATCTATTTATCTATCTATCTACCTAACCATCTATCTGTCTATCTATCTATCTATCTCTTTTTTATCTATCTATCTCTCTCTAACTATCTACTTTCTATCTAGTCTGTCTATCTATCTATTTATTTATCTATCTATCTGTCTATCTATCTACTTTCTATCTACTTTCTACTTAATCTACCTATCTATCTATCTCCTTATCCATCTTTCTATCTATCTATCTATCTCTCTCTTTTGATCTATCAATCGATCTGTCTATTCATTCATCTATCTACCTATCTACTCCTTTATCTATCTATCTATCTATCTATCCATCCATCTATCTATCTATCTTTCTCTCTCTCTCTCTAACTATCTACTGTCTTTCTAATCTATCTATCTATCTATCTACTTTCTACCCAATCTATCTATCTACCAATCTATCTATCTATTTCTGTATCTATCTTTCTTTCTATCTATCTATTTATCTATCTCTATCTACTTTCTATCTAGTCTGTCTATCTACCTATCTATCTGTCTATGTATCTATCAATCTCTCTATCTATCTATCTCTCTTTTTTGATCTATCGATCGATCTATCTATTTATCCATCTACCTATCTACTTCTTTATATATCTATCTATCTACCTATCCATCTATCTATCTATCTATCTCTGTTTTTATCTATCTATCTCTCGCTAACTATCTACTTTCTATCTAATCTACATTTCTATCTATCTACATATCTATCTTTCTATCTATCTATCTATCTATCTATCCACCCATCTACTTCTTTATCTATCCATCTATCTATCTATCTATCTTTCTTTCTCTCTCTCTCTCTCTCTAACTACCTACGTTCTTTCTAATCTATCTATCTATCTACATTCTACCTAATCTAATCTATCGATCGATCGATCTATCTATCTATCTATCTACCTATCAACTTCTTTATATATCTACCTATCTATCTATCTATCTATCTATCTATCTCTCTCTAACTATCTACTTTCTATCTAGTCTGTCCATCTATCTATCTATTTATTTATCTATCTATCTATCTCGCGTGTATCTATCTGTCTCTCCATCTATCTATCTATCTGTCTATCTATCCATCTACCTATCCATATATCTATCCACATATCTATCTATCTAACTATCTATCTATCTATCTATCTCTCCATCTCTCTATCTATCTATCTATCTAACTATCTATCTATCTATCTATCTCTCCATCTCTCTATCTATCTATCTATCTGTCGGTCTGTCTGTCTGTCTATCTATCTATCCCTCTATCTAACTATCTACCTCTCTATCTATCTATCTATCTATCTGTCTATCTATCTGTCTGTCTATCTATCTATCTATCCATCTCTCTGAAATCTCTCTCTCTCTCTCTCCATCTATCTTATCTATCTATCTATCTATCTATCTAATCTATCTATCTATCTATCTAATTCTATCTATCTATCTATCTATGTATTTATCTATCTATCTATCTATTTATCTATCTATCTATCTATCTAACTCTGTCTATCTATCTATCTATCTATCTGTCTATCTATTTCTCTATCTATCTATCTATCTATCTCTTTTCTATCTCTCTATCTACATGTCTATCTCTCTAACTATCTACTTTCTTTCTAATCTATTTATCTATCTATCTGTACCTAAACTTGCGAAAGTGCCGCGCCTGCCACGAAATCTGTACTCGACCTTGCGAAAGTGCTGCGCCTGCTACGAAATCTTTACTTGACCTTGCGAAAGTGCTGCGCCTGCCACGAAATCTGCACTTAGCCTTGCGAAAGTGCTGCGCCTGCCACGAAATCTGTACCTGACCTTTCGAAAGCGCTGCGCCTGCCACGCAACTCAAACCTTGCGAAAACTTGACCTTGCGAAAGTGCTGCGCCTGCCACGAAATCTGAACCTGACCTTTCGAAAGTGCTGCGCCTGCCATGCCATTCAAACCTTGGGAAAACTTGACCTTGCGAAAGTGCTGCGCCTGCCACGAAATCTGAACCTGACCTTTCGAAAGCGCTGCGCCTGCCACGCAATTCAAACCTGGCGAAAACTTGACCTTGCGAAAGTGCTGCGCCTGCCACGAAATCTGTACCTGACCTATCGAAAGCGCTGCGCCTGCCACGCCATTCAAACCTTGGGAAAACTTGACCTTGCGAAAGTGCTGCGCTTGCCATGAAATCTGAACCTGACCTTTCGAAAGCGCTGCGCCTGCCACGCAATTCAAACCTGGCGAAACCTTCGCGTTGCCGTGCCAATGGGCCCGCGCTCCGAGCATGGTCCGAACGCGCTCCGAGGGCGCTCCGAACGCGCTCCGAACGCGCTCCGAGAGTGGTCCGACCAGGCGCCGCGAACAGGCTAGCTTTCGGCTCTCCGGAGACACCAATTCACGCACGGGGCCACGCTTTTTGCAGATTCCTTACTCCCACCACACGCGCGCGCATATTGTCTCGCGTGCTTGTTCCTTCTCTTCATCTGTCTCAGAGAGAGCTAGCTTTCAATTAGTTGCCGTAACACGGAAGTTCCTTCTAAACTTCCTTTGATTAGTACGGGAATCCTCCCAAACAAAAAAGAAACTGTACAAGGGCACTTAGCTGGGGGACCTAGTAAAGAACACTATCTGAACTCGCTGGCAGCCAGGTCAACTCCTCTCAGTGGACCTGTGACCTGTGCAACCCGCAAATGGGCTCTGTCTCTTCTGGGTACCCCGTTTGTTGTTTGGTTTCAAGGAAAAACTAGCCGGAAAACCGTCTTGCCAATTTGGATGTTGGGGGGTCCGAGTCCAAAAAGACCCACCCAAATGCCTGACTTTTTGGCCTGTCCGGAAATACCAAGGCATTGGCTCCTCTCAGATAGGTGGTCCCTTGGGTTTCCCTGAAAAATCAAAAAAAGGCTAGCCTCAAAAGCAGGCATCCCCATGTGTTGTCCGAGGATCTTCCACCTTGGCGGAGTGACTGTTCGCGGCTTCCTTCAGCTGCTGCACCTCGTCTTGCAGCGACTTCTCCTTGGCTCCTCGATGGTTCTTGGTCAATGGTGTTTGTTGGAGGGTACCCTTTTCCATGCTCAGGTTGGTGCAATCGGAAACCCGAAGGAACTTGTGGAGCCCAATTTTGATACATACCCACATGGGTCTAACAAAATCTAACACATGTGTCGTATGCTACGCACATGAATTGTCGTTTGGGTGCAGGCGATCGGGAACTCGTTGAGCCGGTCCCCTGATTGAACAGGATTCCACCTTTTGGGAGCCCCCCTTCCAAAGTGGTCTTCCGCAAGAACAACACATTTGGATTCAACCCCCCAAAAAAGCAACAACTTCTTGCGTGACCCAACAATTACCTGGCAAAAACTCTCATCCCTGCGAACATCGGGCTTGTCGACTTGTTCTCTCAGCACGCGAACACGGGGACAGCCAGGTGCCCAAAGCTCTCCGGAATTGAGGCTGCGAGGAGCCTTGATCACAGATGGTTGACATTTCAAGGAAGCACCCTCCCACCCTGTTCACATGGAACCACGACCATTTTTCCGAACGTCAGGTGCCATGTGAAAAGGGTGGGAGGGTACACTGAAATATGTCGCATGCGCCGCATTTGAACGGTAGAGGGTTGTGCTGTGGCTCAAATAAATAGAGCCCCAAAAGGCACCTTGGTAAATGGAACCAAAGACTAGATCCCGCGGCTTGCCCTAGCTCTTGAATTTTGAGCCACACCCACCTTGGTTGTGATGCAGCAAGGCCAACCGTCATTGACGTTTTCTTGCATGGCCCGCATTCGGCCGGTCTCCTGCTGCCTCCTCTTTGGATGCCCGCTCCTGCCAAGCAAAGCTCTCAAGATTCGGAACACACGACGTGGATTCTCCATACGCTGGATAGACGAAATCCTGCACCTGGAAACCATGGAAACTATGATTTTGGTTGGTATTTCCATCCAGGGATTCGTAGGTGGTAGGATGTCGTCCGCCCACAGTGGGATGCGTCTGAGCAAAGCGCTGCGGCAGTCTTGCCAACTCACCAGGCCACGTGTCGCACAAATAGCTAGTTCTTGTAGTAGAGAGGTTAGGGTACCCTTTTTCTGTAGTCTATTTTAGTAGGGGAATGCTCCCCCAAAAAAGGGTAAAGGGGCACGACTGAGGGACCTAAATAGAGTTAGTCTGAAGCAACACAACGCACTTGGGCGCAACGCCAGCTTACAAGATGAGGGCGGCCCGTTACGAAGCAGGGCGCAGGAAAGAACCCCCAAACAGAACAATACCAACAAAGTAAACTAGAACCCGGGCAAGAACACAAGAAGGAAACGAAGAAAGAAAGCAACACACAAACCAACACAAAACAGCACAAAAGAAACCAAGCGAACAACCAACCAACCAACCAACCAGCCAGGCAGGCAGCCAGCCAGCCAGCCAGCCAACCAACTAACCAACCAACCAAACCAACCAACTAAACCAACCAACCAACCAACCGACCGACCGTCCGACCGACCAACCAACCGACCAACCAACCGACCCACCAACCCACCAACCGCCCAACCACCCAACCACCCAACCACCCACCCACCCACCCACCCACCCACCCAACCAACCAACCAACCAACGAAACAAGCAAGCAAGCAAGCAAGCAAGCAAGCGAGCAAGCAGGCAGGCAGGCAGGCAGGCAAGCAAGCAAACACTCCCACAAACACCCAGACAAAGAAACAACCAAACAAAGAAACAAAGTAAAGAAACAAAGAAATCAAGAAACAAAGAAACAAAGAAACAAACACACACACACACACACACACACACACACACACACACACACAAACACACAAACACACACACACACACACACAAAAACACACAAACACACAAACACACAAACACACACAAACACACAAACACACAAACACACAAACACAAACACACAAACACGCAAACACACAAACACACAAACACACAAACACATAAACACACAAACATACCAACAAACACGTGTTGTTTACCTAATCCCTGTTTTTCCCCAACAGCTGAAAGCTTTGGGGTCTCAGCCCAGATACTCCGGGGTGGTCCGGGGCGGCCCTGAGGTAAGGGTCCACGAGGGTTCCACCAGAGTTCCACCAAGGGTTCCACCAAGGGCTCCACCAGGGTTCCGCGAGGTTCTGCGAGGGCTGCGGGGTGGTGCGAGCACTAAAAAGGGCACGGCATGCTGTTGGGGATATCACCTGAGCTTATTTTCTTGTTCAGGCAAACAAGCAAACACAAACAAGCAAGAAGCAAGCGGGCAGGCAGGCAAGCAGGCAGGCAAGCAAGCCAACAAACCAAACAAACCACCGAACAGCCAACAAACAAACAGCCAACCAAACAAGCCAACACATCAAACGGCAATAAAGAAAAACCAACTCGCAGCATACACCGCCGCTGGTGCGCATCTCATGTTGGTTGACGTTGGAAGGGGAGCAAACAAATAAATTTTAGCTGTTAAGTGGTTGGATTTCAATCACTAAACCTCAATAGGCAAAAATGTAAAATGCTTCCCAACAGCAACCATGAGTCATCACTTAGGCATGGGTCAAAATTAAACCACCAGCAAACCGCTGGTTTAGTCCTTATTTCCATATACCCAACAACCATGTCATTTGTCTCCTGCGCCAAAGCCTCCGCGTCCGATTGCTGCTTCTTCAGGGCCGCGCACTCCGCCTGCGCCTCAGCTGCCAGCTGACGCTCCGCCTCCAGCTGCGACTTCAGGGCCTCGCGCAGCAAGCGAAAACGCGATAGGCCGGGTAACGCGGATGTGGGGTGGATGGACGAAATCCGTTTCGCACCAAGTTGAACCAGACCAAACCATGATTTGTTGGTATTTACGTTGGGGAATCGATTCCTTCCAGGGCTTCTTGGGTGGTGCGAAATGGATTTCGTCCACAGTAGGGTGGATGCCCTCAACTTGCTGGTGCGAGAGGCCGGGAATGAGGGAATGAAGCCTTTAGGGATTCCCTAAAACAAAAACAAACAAAAAACATAGAGGATGGTTTATAGAGGATGGTTTGCGCCAGGCACGTGTTTCCCGCATGGAAAATGAGAGGGGCCGACCTCGATGGACTTGGTTCCAAGCCAAGCAAGCTTAAAAACGTTGACCAGCTAAGGGAACATGGCCCAAGTTCAAGCCAACGGTTTCAAGCTGATGCATACCGAAAGCTCAAATTATATGAAGGGATTGCCAGCGCGTTACCAAGAATGACTGGGTCAAATTCATGCCAGCGGCAAGCCGTGGGTTCAAATGGGTGTGGCTCAAAAGGGTCCACATGGGTTGCCCTGGTAAACGGGAAAGTAGACTGAAACCTACCTCGCCCTGCATCTGAATTTTTGAGCCATGCCCAAATATTGCCTGTACGGGAAGAAGGACACCTCCAATTTGCCGTGATTCACTCTTTTTCCGTGGTTGGATATGGTTGCTTTGCTTGCAATAAGGCATCCACCCTAGTCAATCTACATAAGTTCTCTTCACATCCAGCATCCTTGGAGGAAAACTCGAAGAGCAAACGAAAACACGGGAAGGGAAATGCAGCTTGTAGGATCTTGATCTGCTCGTCCAAAAGTCAGGCCTCCAAGACCATCATGGGTTAAGTTGACACGCACGGAAGAGCTGAAAATCGGAATTTCCACCAAGAGGTTCCCAAGCGGTCTTGACATTTCCACAAGACTCCGAGTCCCAAACCTCAGTTGCTCAGTGAAGGTGGCAAACAGCTTGTCACCCCTGATCTTGATTCCAATTTCACCGAATTTCCCAAAGCTTTCTGGGATGAGGGCACACCCACACGACCTTTCTCGCATCGTGCCGCGTGCCTTCTGCGCCTCCTCCTCTGCTGTCTGCTGCAGCTCCGCCTGGACGAATGCCCAAGGGGGCCAGCTGGTCAAGAGGTGCTGAACGGGTGGGACGCAGGGAAAGTTGAAAGCCAGTGCGTGGGAAGCACGCGGAAACAGTACGCACCCCGTCCAGTCCTGAAGGGGGCGGGGATGACCTCCAGGATCCCCTTTGGTTGCTTGTAGCCACCATTTCCACATGCAACCCACTTTCGAGGTGAATAGAAGGCAAAGTTTGGCAACATCGCAAGCACAGGGCAGCTGACTCCTGACGGCAACTACCTCATCCAAACACACAGCGAAGAATGTCCCCCACACAAGCACAAACAAACATCACGAACCAGTCCACCCCTGACATTGCTCCGCCTCCGCATAACTCTCCTTTGAAACATCGCCAAGCTCACTTAACGTTGGCCCCGCATAAATGCACTATTCAACTGGGCCACACTTAGACCCCTGCAAAATTTGACTCGCTGCGGGCAATTGAAGGAACACCAAAAAGGCCTATAAAAGTCAATCTAGAGTTCGGCATGTTTTTCCGAGCATAGCGAAACCCATAGAGCAATCATGTGGTTTCAACCATGGCTTCATTTCCACCACGAAATGGATGACTCGCAACCATCCACCGTAGGCACCCCCACCCCAAAAACCCACGCTCAGCCTTCCATTTGCTTAAGACCCCGGGAACAAAATACTTCCACCTAGAGTCTCCTTGACCCTTTAAAAATGGGGTCATTACCCAAAATAATGGGGTCATGGTCCTATTTTTAAACGGTCATGGAGACTCCAGGCAGTAGTGATAAGTTCCTTTCAAAACCAACAGGGGAAAATATAAAAGCATTCTTAAGCAAATGGAAGCAGCGCGGGCCTGCTGCTTCAGCACCGCGATCTCCGCCATCGCTTCCTCTCCCCGCTTACGCTCTGTGGTCAACTGCTGCTGGAGCTCGTACCTCTGCCTCTCCTCCTCCTCAGCGATTCGTTCAAGAGAAAATCAGCCCATGTTCCGATTGTTCAATGAACATCACCCGTATGTTTTTTTGGTTTTCCCGATGAAACTGGAGGGGGGGAAGGGGCTGTCCTCAGATCCCCGCTGAGTGCTTAACTCATTAGTGGGTTAAAATGGGTTGAATGGAAATCCCCACAAAGGCCAAAAAGGTAACTCGGATGGATGGGAGCCACCAAGAACAAAGGTGGGATGCAAGGGAACCACGGGGAGTTTCTTGAGGAACTCATCACCCATTCGAGCTAGGGCCTAGGGTGGAGATTCGGGTGCAGGGAAGCGAAAGGAAAAACACATGGTTGGAGAAAACCGGACATGGTGGACCAAAAACCCTTTCAGTGACCAAAAGGGACTCCCAATCTCGTGACCTCATCACTTTGCAAAGGATTATTTTGGTATCATTCAAAGTGGCCCTAACAGACAATGTTCGACACACACACACACACACCATCTCTCCTAGGGTCCAAGCTCCTGGATGGTTTCGTGGAGTAGGGTTCTACCCTCGCGACCAAGCGAAAATCACCCTGAACGCCGTGGCTTTTTGGAGGGGCGCCGGACACTCCTGCAGATTTGTTTGCCAGCTAAACGGATGGGCGCGGAGTCGCCTGGGACCCCTCCCAGGGGTTTTGTTTATCCCCCAGGATCCCAGTTACTCTTAACTCGGTCCTCCAGTAGAGAGGTTAGGTGTTCTATTGGGTAGTTCCCTTGGTTACCTCTTCAGGTAAATCGATTTGGTGGGGATGCTCAAAACTCAGAAGCAAAAAGGAGAACTCTAGCTGTACCCTCCCCATTCTCTTCAGAGAAATGCTTCTCTTCCAAAACATTGGCCAAAGCCCGGAACATAGGTGGTTTCGAAAGAAAAGGAAGGGTGAAGAAGAAAGAAGGAATCAAATCTTGGAACCTGAGGCTTAGCTCCCAAGTTCCAGCTGAGCGCTCGCTCTTCGAAGCCCAAACTGAGGCTCAAGCCACCGCGGTTTGGAGGTTCGCAGGAGCAGCCTGCCGCAGCACCTGGGGAAGGTCTCAAAATTGGGATGTCTCCTCCTCGAAAACCCAAAAAACGGGGTCCGAAAAATCCGTTTGAGGGGGGTCTGTTGTTAAGGGTGCCCATGTTGGGGTGGGTGTTAAAAGGACACCGAAATCCATGTTGCGGTCCCCGATCAGAAAAGACACACCCATTTGGAGCGCTGCAATTAGCATTCTTGGACTTCTTTGCCCCAGACACAAAAAAGATGTTGCGCAAACAACCAACCAAGCCAAAATAAGAGGATACTTACATTATACACCTGAACATTGCCATGTAAATGGTGGTGTCCCTTTATTTGTGTGGAAAAATCCATGTTTCAAATGGGCAAAATGTATCTTTTAAGGAGCCCTGGATAAATATCCCAGTAACCAAGAAACTAAGTAGGCAAGTAACCAAGTGACCAAACTACAGAACCACACAACTGCAAACAAACAAAAAACACCTCCCACCAACCCACCCACCCACCCACCCACCCACCAACCAACCCACCAACCAACCAACCAAGCCAAGCCGAGCCGAGCCGAGCCGAGCCAAGCCGAGCCAAGCCAAGCCAAGCCAAGCCAAGCCACCCAACCAAAACAAGCCAAAGCAAACCAACCCAAGCCAACGACTACAAACCAACCAAGCCAAACCACCCAACCAACCAAAACAAGCCAAAGCGAACCAACCCAAGCCAACGACTACAAACCAACCAAGCTAAGCCACCCAACCAACCAAAACAAACCAAAACCAACCAACCCAAGCCAACCACTACAAACCAACAGCCAAACCACCCAACCAACCAAAACAGTCCAAAACAAGCCAACCCAAGCCAACGACTACAAACCAACCAAGCCAAGCCACCCAACCAACCAAAGACAAGCCAAAGCAAACCAACCCAAGCTAACGACTACAAACCAACCAAGCCAAGCCACCCCAACAACCAAAACCAGCCAAAGCAAACCAACCCAAGCCAACGACTACAAACCAACCAAGCCAAACCACAAACCAACCAAAACAAACCAAAACAAGCAAAACCACACCCAACCAAGCCAAGCCACTCAACCAACCAAAACAAGCCTAAGCAAGCCAAAACAAACCAACCAAGCCAGACCCCGAACCAACCACAACAAACCAAAACAAGCCAAACCACCCAACCAACCACAACAAACCAAAGCAAGCGAAACCACACCCAACCAAAATAAGTCAACCCAAAACAAGTCGCGCACGCCGCGCCTCGCACTCGTGAGCCATGTGCTCCGCCCTGCGCCGCTCAGCCTCCAACTCCTCCTGCAACTTCTGCCGCGCCTGGCAAAGAAACCCAAAATCCAAATCGAACCCTGAGTGAACATCCCAATCCCCACTAAAATAGACTGAAATGGGTGTGGCTCAAAATGAAACGGTCGGAGGGGTTACGCAGGTTTTGGTCCATGTTTCCACTCAACAGGGTTCCATTTTGGTACTAAAAGGGGTACCAAACTTGCGCCTTGGTAAATGGAACCAAAGACCAAAACCCGCGTAGCCCCTGCTCTCTAATTTTGAACCGTACCCATGCGGATGTGTCTTTCAGAAGGTTAGATGTGGACCTGGAGGAGTGCACACGGAACAAATATGGGTACGTGTTTTATTACTCAACAAAAATGTGAGTGTCCAGGTAGTTTACCTTTAAAGAAAACCAAAAGAGAGTTCCACGATAAAAAGTCGACCCCATGCAGGGTTTTCTCAAAATGGCGGACTAGCGGGAAACCAACCGGAAAACACTTTTTCTTTTCTTGTTTTTTTTGGGGGGGAGTTGAGATCCATCCATGTGTTGGAACCCACAGAATGCGAAGGTATGACTTGCCACAACCATCATTGGGAACCAAAATAGTAGGGGAACTATATTTGCCTCAGCTGCCTCCAAACCTGTGTTATCAAGCCTCGGCCACCTAAGGGATACCGAGGCAAGCAGCAAACCGTTGACTACCTTTTCACACTGCTGTCAGTGATCTTGAAGTCTGTAGCGGGCGGAGCATGTACAAGCACATTCATGCACAGGGTTGGAACCTGAATCCACACCCCCCCTCATTTGAAATTGAGCAGCAACGAAAATGTCGGCAGGTTTTGCAACCCGCTTTGATTCAACACGCACATCCATTGCACGTTGAAAATGGACATTACACATCCATCGTGCAAACAAACGGCTACTCGCTCTCAAAGGTGCTCCTTTTGGATGATGATTGCATTCACCACCTTCCGCTTGTAGACCAGCCACGCGAACTCCAGGTCGACCATTCCCAGCTGCTCCAGGCGCGGTCGCTCCAGTCACGACCGCTCCAGTCCCTCCAGCTGCGGCTTCTGGCAGTGGAGCTGGATGCAGGCTGAGTAGGTCCGCGGGCGCGGTCCTCAGCGCTTTGCTTCTGACTGCGCTGAGCGAGCCTCTTTGCGTCGCCCTCCGCCCGGCCGCAGATCTCCTTGACTTCAGCTTCAAGGCCCTCGGCTCCGGTTGCCCGGAGCGTAGGAAACTCTCCGCCGAACGTGACAAGGTTGCGCATCCCCAGGAGGATGTTGACCTGGGCGACAAATTGGTGAAGATTGGTGAAGGCTCAGCATTTTCCCGTTATACGAGAATAGCCATGGAAACGAGTGCAAGCTGGTGTCATAATCCCCAACCTGGCCACCAGTGACATAGACAGTCCTAACGTAGTGGAGTCCTCGTTTTCCATAGCCAGGCCCAACCCCGAGAAGTCTCTGATCGTAACTTCGAGGAAATTCGGGAAGGACGCAAAACCGATAGATAGACATTTGGTAGAGGCTCTCGCGATTGTGGCCCTGCTCGACCATGCGAAGGGCAAAGGTCGCGTCCTTGTCGAACCTGTCCACCACATTGTCATATCCAAGCTTCCGGGCTCTGCTATCGTAGTTCTTCGAGGCTTCGATCTGCTTTGCCTCGAAAGATGTTGCTCCTCGCTTCGCAACATCAGTGTAGTCCTTGAAATCGTTGATGAGGAGCTGATCAACCGATTCCCAGACTCCGCCTTATTGAAAAGATTCAATAATCTTATTGATTTGTGATGTCATTATTGAAACAGCGTTTTATTGAAATGTGTGGCATTTCTGAAGCGAAATGATTATTGGTTTGTTTCAATAAGCCTTATTGGTTTGTGTTTGAATAACCTTATTGGTTTGTGCGTTTCAATAAGCCTTATTGGTTTGCGCGCTTCAATAAGCCTTATTGGTTTGCGCGTTTCAGTCAGGTGTTCCAGCTATACGTACATATAAGGGTGCAGGGGCGGCACTGCGCAAGTGCTGCCCTCCATGTTTGGTGTGACCCAACAAAGCGTGGCGCAGCCAAGCGGGCTCAAAAGCCATTGTCAGCAATGACTGGAGTTGTGGCTGAGTTTAGAGCAGATGATGTGCTGGTGTGGCAGCATTCAGCTGGCTGGCTGTCCTTTTTCCTCTACAGCCCTGAGTTTGACATGTACCAGCGCCTGAGTGTTCCCAGTTGGCAGTATGTTGCCCAGAAAACTTTCCAATTTCTCTCTGGAATTACACTGCCATGGAAAAAGACCATTTGAGGACAATGCTCAGGATAGAAACAGCTTTTGCACTTTCAAGAGCCAGGCGAGGTCTAGACTACCGCGGCCCGCTTGGCGTGTACAAAGCCAGGCTTTAGAGGCACCAGCAGCAGCAAAAAAGGAAGGACTGCTTGCCCGGCGTAGCTGGCATGTGCAGCTGCTTCAACATGTTGCTTGCAGCAATTTCTTTGAGAGATTTGTCTAGGACTTGACCAGCTGTGCCATGGTGTTGATGAAGGCAGCCAGAAAGAGGGCGCAAGGCCAGAAGCATGCGTTTTTTTTGGTGTCTTCTTGCAAACGGAAGCTTTTCTTGAACTGTCATCGCCTGCGCAGGCGCTGGAAATGCCAAGCCTATGAGAAGGCTTGCCTTCCCAGATGTGGACCAATCCGTGCTGGACGACAAGCTTGACACATATGTGAGGTTCGTCGGGGCCAAGGAAGCCTTCAACTTGCACGCTTACAAGAAGCTGCAGCCCCAGCAAGCTGAGAGCCCCAAGAGCTTGCTGAAGCTTGTCCTGCTGCTGGAGGCTTTGGTGGGGGCTAGCCCAACTGCCCAAATCAAGTACAAGTACTTGAAGCAAAGCATCACACTGACGCATAGTTTTGGTGAAGAGTTGTGCTCTTCGCAGTTTCAAGGGGACAAAGCCCACCTGGCTGGAATGGTGGCTGATTGCGTGGGGGTTGTGCTGAACCACTGGAGAAGGGCCACAGCTTCCCGGGCTCGATTTTGCTGTCAACTTGAGGAATGGGTGTATAAGCAGACCCAGGGTGGCCCAGCTAGAGTCTTGCAGGCGCAGGATTCAGATGTCACCATGGACTCGCAGGGCTTCCCAGCCTTGCTGAAGGAAGTCTCTGACTCAGAGCGCGGCTCAGAGACAAGGCTTGACATGGGCAGAAGCATGAGTGCTTTTTTTTGACTGTGATGCAAGTGCTGCAGCCTGCTCGCCACCACCTGCGACGAAGAAGGAGTGGCGTAAAAAGGCCACGGAAGCGGGGACAGACTCTGCCACAAGCCCAGGGAAGCCTGCACGCAAGGGCATGAAGAAGCCTGCTGCACGCATCGCAAAAGCAAAGAAAGCTGGCCCCAACAGAAAGGCCAAGCTCGAGCAGGACACAGCCCTGGACACTGCCACCTTGTCCATAGGTGGTGGCAAGCACCAGACCTACATTCAGCACAAGCCAGGGGGTTCTGGAGGCAAGAAGAAGCTTGTGGTTGGATGCGCCACAGCTATGGCCCAGAGAACCACCAAGACCCACAAGGCTATCATTGAGATGCTTTTTGATGTGGCCAAGAAGCCAGGCGCCACCAAAGCAAGCGTGCTGGCTGCTAGGGAGAAGTTGCTTGAAAAGCACAAGATTATCTGATGTGTCATTTTCCCTTGCTTTGCTCGCAGCCGGTGGATTTAGCAAAAAAAGACTCGTGTTGCCTGTGCTTGCGTGCAACTTGCTGTGGCCAGCCAAGTGTGACAGCAGACGAATGTGGCACTCATGCAACTTGATGGTTCCACGCAGCTCTGTAGCATTTTCAAGGCTTCCGATTTCTTTCGAGCCATGTCAAACAGGGCCTTCCCCTATGTGTTGGATGACCCCTACCCTAAGTCTCCGGTATTGGTTTGTTTCGCGCGAGATGGAAAAAACCAATCGAGATTGGTATTTCCCATCGTGGATTGGTAAGTGGTGTAATATCAATATTGCAAGATTGGTTTGTCAAAAATATCAATATTTGACCTTCCCTAGCAACTAGCTATTTTGAAGGTTTCCTTCCTAAATTGCTTTGACTTTGCAATTAGGAACCTTCTGACTTTGCAGTCACATTTATGACTTTGCAGTCATTTCCCACCCTCCCACCACCCCCAGAGAACATGACTTTGCAGTTATGCCCCACCTTCCCACCACCCCCAGCCCCACCTGAAAGCTGTTGGCAAATGCCCTCCTCACCACGAACCTTAAATTTAGGATTGCCACAACTTCGCACCTCCCAGCCTCACATCACAATTAACCACTCCTGGCCCCAGACAAGAGCTGCTGGCAAAAGCACTTTTTTCCTTAGGCAGATTGGCCCAGCTGCAAAGTCATTGCTACATCAAGTTTCTCTGACAGCAAAAATGGCATGTCGCAAGTTGACACCCCCCTCAGGCAGCTGGAGCCAAGCTCAGACAGCCTTCCAACAAAATCTTCACTTCCATAACACCACACATAGCGAGGGTTCAGAGTCAAGCCTTGAATGGCTAGCTCATTGCAGTAATGCAATTTTGGAACCATTGACCATTGGCAGGTTTTTTCTTTCACTGCTTTTGCAGCCAGGAACTGGTATGTTTGCAAAGCAGCTTCCATGTGACCCAAGGCTGCCCTTGCTTCTTGTTTCTCAGGAACCAGGCCAGAGTCATACACATGGTTGTAGTACATGTCCAAGTGTGCCAGGAGGTCCTTCCTTTTCAAGGAGTAAGTGCTTCCATCACACCAGTCTCTGCAGAGCTTGGAAAACACTGGCACCAAAGTCCTCACCTTAGAGCCAACTTTGACACAAGAGTTTCGCAAACTTGGTGGAAACAAAGACCCTTTATGATGCCAAGGGTCCTGGGCAGCCTTCAGGTGTGCCAGGCAAGGGTAGGTGGTACTCAGTGCCTTGGGTTTGGTAAAGTTGTTCAGGGTAAACTTGGACAGTGGCTTGCCATGGCCAGCTTCTCCTTGGTGTTCTTGTATGTAGGCCCAAAGTTTTTTCAGGGCAAGCTGCCTTTGTGCAGCTGGAAC